CGTGGCTTCAGGGGCTTCGTTGGCTTCACTGCTCACGAAGCTTCACCAGCCTCCGTCCACGAGCCTCTCACTTGAAGGGAAACTCAAAGTCAGGGCGACGCTGTGAGTTCGGGGGAGGGGAGGGAGGGAGAGGGAGAGGGAGGTAAGAGGGTTGGAAGGTGTGTGTGTGGTGTGTGTGTGTGTGTGTGTGTGTGTGTGTGTGTGTGTGTGTGTGTGTGTGTGTGTGTGTGTGTGTGTGTGTGTATGTGTGTGTGTGTGGTGTGTGTGTGTGTGTGTGTGTGTGTGTGTGTGTGTGTACATATGTATGAGTTTGTGTGTTTGTCTCTCCGTGTGCACATATGTATGTGTATGCGTGTACATATGTGTATATCAAAGAACACACCGACCCAATAAACTAGAACATAAACATAAACAGATGAAAAGATAGAACAGAGTACAAATTGAACAGAGAACAAAATAACAAAAAGACAGAAATGGTATCTTTATGTTATGATATAAATCCATATTCTAGTTACGTGCGCAATACACTTTAAAGGTTATGTAGTAAAAAAAGACATCTAGGTCACCGAGGTAAGAAAATATACTGAAATGTTTATCATATTGTTAGATACAAAGCAAGATGAATATGATATAATGAATCTATTGTATGTGAATAGGTAGATGAATAAAAAGTAGATAAACAGGAAAGGCGGTACTTTATACAACACACACACACACACACACACACACACACACACACGCCACATCAACACACACACACACACACACACACACACACACACACACACACACACACACACACACACACACACACACACACACACACACACATACACACACACACACACCACACACACACACACACACACACACACACACACACACACACACACACACACACACACACACACACACACACACACACACACACACATCACACACACAGTACAGCACACACACACACACACACACACGATTAGATAGGTAATATAAATAAAGATAAATAGACACAGACAAGCAGATAGATAAATGGATAGAGTTATATATTAAGTAGATAGATAGATATACAAAGAGAAAGAGATTAGCAGATAGATGAATAGACGAGTAGATAGAGAAAAATAGACAAACAAGCAAATAGATGGATAGATAGATTTATAGATAGATAGATGTATAGATAGTAAGATAGGTATGTGGAGATAAGTAGTTAGACAGGCATATGACTAGATTCGTGGAGAGGTAAATCATAGAGAGAGAGAAAGTGAAAGAGAAAGAGAAGGAGAAAGTGGAAGAAAGAAAGAAATAGAGCAAGAGAAAGATAAGGAGAGAGAACGAGAGAGAGAGAGAGAGAGAGAAAGAGAGAGAGAGAGAGAGAGAGAGAGAGAGAGAGAGAGAGAGAGAGCGAGCGAGAGAGAGAGAGAGAGAGAGAGAGAGAAGAGAGAGAGAGAGAGAGAGAGAGAGAGAGAGAGAGAGAGAGAGAGAGAGAGAGAAAGAAAGAGAAAGAGGAAGAAAGAAAGAACAGAGCAAGAGAAAGAGATAGAGAGAAGGGAGAGAGGGAGAGAGGGAGAGAGGAGAGAGAGGGAGAGAGAGAGGAGAGATAGAGGGGAGAGAGAGAGAGGAGAAGATAGATAGATAGATAGATAGATAGATAGATAGAGAGAGAGAGAGAGAGAGAGAGAGAGAGAGAGAGAGAGAGAGAGAGAGAGAGAGAGAGAGAGGGAGAGGAGAGGAGAGAGGGAGAGAGAGAGAGAGAGAGAGAGAGAGAGAGAGAGAGAGAGAGAGAGAGAGAGAGAGAGAGAGAGAGAGAGAGAGAGAGAGAGAGAGAGAGAGAGAGAGAGAGAGAGAGAGAGAGAGAGAGAGAGAGGGAGAAAGAGAAGAGAGAGAGAGAGAGAGAGAGAGAGAGAGAGAGAGAGAGAGAGAGAGAGAGAGAGAGAGAGAGAGAGAGAGAGAGAGAGAGAGAGAGGAGAGAGAAGAGAGAAAAGAGAAGAAAGAAAGGAGAAAGAGGAAGAAGAAGAAACAAATCATAGAGAGAGAGAAAGTGAAAGAGAAAGAGAAGGAGAAAGTGGAAGAAAGAAAGAAATAGAGCAAGAGAAAGATAGGGAGAGAGAACGAGAGAGAGAGAGAGAGAGAGAGAGAGAGAGAGAGAGAGAGAGAGAGAGAGAGAGAGAGGAGAGAGAGAGAGAGAGAGAGAGAGAGAGAGAGAGAGAGAAGAGAGAGAGAGAGAGAGAGAGAAGAAGGAGAAAGAGAAAGAGGAAGAAAGAAAGAAACAGAGCAAGAGAAAGATAGAGAGAAAGAGAAAGGTAGAGAGAGGGAGAGAGGGAGAAAGAGAGGGAGAGATAGAGGGAGAGAGAGAGAGAGAAGGAGATAGATAGATAGACAGAGAAAGAGAGAGAGAGAGAGAGAGAGAGAGAGAGAGAGAGAGAGAGAGAGAGAGAGAGAGAGAGAGAGAGAGAGAGAGAGAGAGAGAGAGAGAGAGAGAGAGAGAGAGAGAGAGAGAGAGAGA